TCACCATCCCTACTGATCTGAGCAATCCCAACACCTTTATCGAAATTGACTGATTTTAAGAACAAATATATCACAAGAAACAGTACTCACAAGTGATTTCTCATAAATAACTGTCATTTTACTCACTCAATATTGACATATTTTACGACATTCTTCAATATACTGCGCCGTTACATTTGTTTTTCGCCGTTTGTCCGCTATTTTGTACGTATAACGGTCATTGAAAGACTATTCGCAGTACAGATTACAGTTAGTTTCGCGCTAGCCTTAGATATGTGAATTGAAAATAGTTTGATTCCACATACCTCTCTCTCGTTTTCATTGTTTTGTTCAAGTGCCAGCCTCTTAACACACACTAGATCGCTTGCGGAAAAGAAAAGAAAAAAAAAAAAAAAAAAGCAGGGAAAAAATTGGCGCAAATCATACTTGATAAACGACTTTGGGTGTGCAAGAAAAAAAAGCTTTTTAACAAAATATAAATTTTTTAAAAACCAAAATTACAAATTATTTTTGCTGTTTTCTTAAGAGCGCAATCGTTAAACCACACAAAAACAAACGGTGAATATTTCACCAAAGTTCAACAAAATGTGATTGACATTGAATCCATCAAAAGCTTGCGCATTGTGACAGCCTATTTACTCCTTGTTCTAAATCTCTTTTACTGTGTACACACTGAAAGCAAGTTTGATAAAAGCATAACCATTAACCATTTTGAAATAGCATTACTCCTGTTGGCTCTTTATCCAGCGATGGAAGATGTCGGCTTTAATCGATGCAGAGTCATAATCTTTCTCTTGTTGTTGGATATGTTGTTGTAGTGCTGTTGTTTTGCAACTGTTATAGTTCATGTTAAGGTTGTTTTTCGCGTTTCCAGCTACAGTTGGTAAGCCAGCGCTGTTCGAAGATTGTGATGATGATTCGTTTTTTGCTCCTGTACTTTGCCAGTATTGATTGATACTTCGTGTTAGCACCTGTGAGGGGAGGTTGGTTTTCTTTTTACATTTGAATTCCATGGTTGATTCAATAAATAAATTATCATTTTCCTCTCTACCGGCAAGTAATCTTTCTGAGTTCAGTTCAGGTAAAACAGTTTTTGAATGTTCCCCATTGTAGAGATCTTCGCCTTTTTTTGACTTCGACAAAGCAATGATTTCCACGCTTTCTCCTTCTCGAGAATTAACGATATGTCGTCTGGGTTTGATACGTGTTGTCTGACAAACCTTCTGATTTCTTCTGGCGCACGATTTTTTGGAGTTATTATTTTCTTCGGCCAATGGTTGCAAAGGTGGTAGCGAATCTGACGAGTGGCGCTGCATTTGGTAACAATCATACCTTGTCAATGCTTGTCCTAATGGCATCGGCGTAGAGGGTCTTAAAACTTCCATTTTGAGCGAGCAAGCACTTTCTTCGGCCTCTGAAACCAACTGAGTCAATTGTTATGTTAAAGTGATATTAAAGCTCGGTAGAAAACATGCGATATCTTGGGTCACGGCCACGTCAATTACTGAAAACCGATACGCTGAACGTTTGTGCCCACAAAGCACTTTAAGATAGTTGATATTTTACCAATCCCTCTTTTCTTAAATCTCCAGGCATTATCAACTAGCATTTGATGCCCTCGATTTCTGGTTATCTGGTATCCGTTAAAGAAAAAATCAACTGGCATCCTGTTCAGGCAATTCAAAGTTAACAGTGGATACCTTATTATACGTAACGAAGCGTCATTTACGCCCACACCAGACACTATCAGTTTAAATCAGTCTACATTCCTCTCTCTCTCTCTCTCAATCCACACGTACTCTGTCACATACTGTTGTCGTATGTTATCCTCAAACATTTGTCTTATACAGCAGAAATTAAAATCCCAAAGGTATTTACTTGTGAAGATTTATAGTTTTTATGGATAACATCATAAGCTGGTTAGAAATGTTCTTAATGAGTGTGTTTGTTTAAAACGTAAACATCTTGAATGGCTGTGTTCACAGTATTTTCTCTAAGCCTTCCTTTTTTGGTTGGTTTAACTAGATTTTTAGTTTTCCGGCTCAACCTCTTTCCTTTACTCCGTTAAAATTTCATTACGAGCAGCATTAGAAATCTGGAATAAAGTTACTCATTTCTTGCACGATTTTAGTCAAGTTATTACCAATGTGTAATCTTTCACATTCAACATAGCAAAAGAATTAGAAAAGTTCACGTACGGCTGGCACGATATCACTTACAGTGCTGATAGGGATGGGCTGTACATGTAATGACATTTATGTAGGGTATTAAGGCACCCGCTCCAAACACCTTGGACTTTAGACCCTGCTTACTTTTTTGGTGATATAGATACATTAAATAGAGTGACAAAATGAGAATTTTTCGTTGTTAAAATTCATCCAAATATCGCTCTATTCTCACACGAATGCAGTCGAATTCCTTCACGTCTAGTTTCCAGTATTCAGTTTGTCTTAACCATGAGTAATAATCATTAATACTTATTGATAATAAACGATCAACTCATACTGAATGCATTATAATAAACTCTGTATGATGATGGTATTGGAGGGTGGTAATAGTAGTAAAAATCATAAAAGGGCGATTTCGTTGCCAATAAAAATGCTTGAAGCGCGTCTCCTGCTAGTAATGGTTCCCCCGTGTTAACCGACAAAATCTTTCATGTCTTATTATATTTCTTCTATTTATAGACTTATAATCTACACATGTTGTTTTTATTATCTTGTTAGGCCTAATTGCTGTTCACAAGGTTGGTCATCGCCTCAGGGGCACCGCGAACAAGGTGAAAAAATGTATGGTTTTACTGCCTTAATTCTACATGATTCTTGTTGAATGATAAAAGAGGCATGTGAAGAGAAAAGGCTTCATCATTTAGTGGGACTGTAATGAAAACAAAACAATGAGAAGATTAATACCCGAAAAAAAATTAAGTTTCGAGAAAGAAGATTGGTTGCAAATAAATTGCTGGTGAAACAAAAAGGTCAACATCTCTGTTTCTCGTACAGAGTGAGGGATAAATGCCTGGAGACACGTCTTTCTAGTTTATGGGTGCTTTTAACGGATTAAAGGAAGAACTGCATTAAAATCTTTGAAGATAACAATATGAATGTTTATATAAGTGTTCTGAAAATATTAGCGTTTTATAGGATTCAAAAGAAAGAATTAACAAAAATAGATTTTAAAGTTGCTTTGCGTAGGAACAGCTGGTAAAACTAGTTTTCACATTCCATGTGAATACCGGTGTATGTACCATGATGAATGATAGAAAAAGGAATATCAAAGCCTAATGCATAAGCGCATTACGTTTCGACATGATTCGATACGGATTCCAGTCGACAAGAATCATTTTAAGATCACTAGATTGTGGGTTTTGTTTTTACGTAATAAATGATTGCTCTTTCTGGGATAATCTTGTCTAAAAGGTTTCGTTATCTCACAGATTTGGTAATAATCTTTATAACAAAGATACTCGTACGTGAGGTCAACTTTCACGTCTCAGACGCCATAATAACTGGTGCTTGAATGGGCTTGCTTATCATAAACGTATCAGGTGCCGCCCACATCTTGCACACTAGACGTATGCGAGGCATAAAATAAGTTACAACGAGCGCGCAATCCTACAAGTATTCTTGTTAGATAACTTATGATTAATGCGTTTTGCCTCGTTATAAATAGAGATCTTGTTAACGCTAACTTAGATATTGATGGCGTAGTTTAGAATGCTATGGTTTATGCACAGCTATTTCGAGCATGAGCTTCGTGTGCGAGAGCTAAAACTAGATTGTTCCCCAGTGCGCAGTGTAAATCTATCCGTTCTTCATAATGTACATCGGCCGCCAAGAAGAGATTTTTAAGGGGTCACTTAAGTACAACGAACATTTAATAAAGTTAATAAACACCATAGAACACAAACCTATATTGGTTACATACTAATTCATATTCACTGGAAAAATCGATCGATTTGGAATCATGGAAGTATGATGTAAGATAAGCTGAAAGTTAGTCCTCGCTCCAACCTCTTGCACATTTCCATGGTATATTCCATCATTTAAGACGCGCAGGTTTTTTCTTGATATTTCTCTAACAAAATGTTTCTCAGTTAAAAGTTCTGCATACCGCGTTACATCAAGCACCCATTCAATCTCGTACCCGGAGCCCTTATTTCTTATATTGCGCATGCTCCTCGAAACTGAAATTCAACTAATATTTCGTTGAGCATGCGCAGTAAAAACATAAGGGCTCTGGGTACGAGATTGACACCCATCTTTCATAAGGTCCTATCTCGATAACGGTTGAATCCAGCTTGCATAACATTATCTAGACCATTAGTCGGTCCTACTGAGAGTTCGTGTGAGCTTCGTACGATATCAATATCTCGTCGTCCAGAGATAATCTTTGTTACACCTGCTATTGTAATCATTTCTGTTCGCAAAGGAACATTTGTACCACGAATACACAGCGTTTTGAAGTTATGGCATTTGTTCATGATATTCAGTAAACTGACTTCGACTTTTGAGCGGCTTATGGCGTAAAAGTTATGCAATGCAAGCGCCTCCAAGTCTGGACAATATTTTGCAATGAAGTTGAATAATACTTCTGTCCTAATGGCTGACTGTTTTGTTATAAAGAAGATTTTTAGTTTAGGAAGACACCTTAAAGACGCACCCAGTTCAGCCTCGGAGTTGAAGGCGCTGCCAACACACAGTGTCGTCATGTTGGGACAATTCCTCAGTAACCCATACAGCGCATGTTCAGATAGGTTAAAACTGCTGTGAATGTCTAAAGTCTCTAGATTTGTGCAATTTTTTTCGGCCATTTTCATAATGACGTCATCACTCAGAGATCTGCCCCAGCCACAAAATGAGATTTGGAGGTAATTAAGCTGAGAGAGCCTGGGGAGGAGACTCAATAATCCTTCCTCGGTGATAGAATAACAGTAAGATATATCGAGTTCAGTGATTACGGACCGCGCCCAGTCTGTTGCCATGAGATACTGGTTAGAAATCCTTGTACAGCTGAGGAGAAGCGTCCTTAAACGCGGACAAGCATGGATCAAGAAAGGAAGAAACTTCCCCAAGAGACAAGTACATCCTGCAAAACTGAGTGCCTCTAGATTAGGACAGCTGGAAGCGATTTCATTCAGATCGTCATCAATAAGACTCGGACAATCTTGACAGTAAAATACCTTCAGGTTGAGCAGGGACTGGAGTAGCCGAGTCGATGGGTATGCAGGCAAGTGGAAGTGGTCCATTCCTAATACTTCTATACTGCGCATGCGTGGTAGTAAACTACTGAAGATCATTGAGACGTCGTCATCTTGGATGAACCTGAGGTCCAAGTACTTTATACCCAATGGCAGACGGGAATAGATAACATCGTCGTCATCAACTTTACTGAATATCTGGCATCCCTGTAGACTGAATGAATTATTGCAAGTAGGTAAGTAGCAGGTTCGCACATGATTGATTCCCGCCACGCCAAGAGTCTTAATTTCTTTAATAAATAGCGCGTAGTATATCAAAATATATTGTGACTATGAGGACTGGCAGGCACAGGCAGGCTCATCGGCATGCACCCCTATGTCATCTATAGCCCATGCCCTTACATCAATGGCAAAAGAACGGAGCAAATCATCGGAACCCATCCAAGGAGCTCCCATATATTTCCGTCGGCCTCTAAGTGGAAATCCCCTTATCATTAAGTAGATTTTACAATTTTTTAACATTAAAAAATTAAAACATACTTGATACCTTAGTGCCTTCAAGCGAGAACATTCTGTCACAATCTTGAAAACGAAATCCCTTGACAAGCCTGTACAGTCTCTTAAGTTACAACAAACAACAGAGTCACGAATCCTATCAAAGAACACGCTGAATCCTTCATGACCAAGGAAAAGTCCGCGGAGTTCTAACAACCGCCACAAGAACGGATCAAAGGCGATACGATCCCATTGCTTGTTCACTCGAGCAGCAGTGCGTAAATCGTCAAAGTCAAGATGTGATAAAATCCTAAGTATAACTACTTCTGGTAATTTATCCATTTTGTTTTTTTGAATTTTTTTCGTCTTCTTTTCGCTTTAATTGTTACGTAAAGGTAAGAGCGCGCACTTAGGGACGTGCGCGCGCAAAGTTGAGGGCCACTTAGTAATACCTTCATAGGGTATTTGAGGGTAAAAATCTAGAGCTACGAAGTATTTAAACCTATTAATCATAGTGATGAATTACCATAAAAATAATGTTTTGGTGTTTTGTACTTACGCTACGAGAAAAAAGAGCCGGTACAAACTTAGTTCCCCTTCGATTGAAGGGTCAAGCAGCCTCGATAAACAAAGTTGCAAAAATAGCCTTGTTCCAGGAACTTTATGGAATTGAATTATTTTGATATATCTCAAAGTTCTTTAAAGAAAACGAAAAATGTCCCTAATTATTTGAAATATGATATTGCTTAGTTTTTCAAAATTTACGTACACGACTGGGCTGTTGGGTTTCCTGTGTTGAGAACCTAGTCCTCCTCTGGAAGACGCTGCTCCCATCATGCCGTTCGAACTCACGAGAGTCCTCTTCGCCATTTTTCTCCGGCTGGAGTTAAAAGATCTCAGGTTGGTCTTAAAATCCTTGCTAAAATACACTTTATTTAAGCCATCGTTATACTGAAATTCCGGAAAGCGATGCATTTAGGGCGATACAATCCACTCGAGACCATATTTAACAAATATACCCATCCTGATTGAGTTATTTCGCTAGCTGAAATAACTTCTTGGAGAGAAATAGAAATCTTGTCCTCCGATAAAGTGTTCATAGTAAAGTTTTTGATTTCTTGTATAGCTTTGGTTATAATGACTCCAGCATAGTCCTTATGTCTTGCTATGTTATGCTATTAATTCCTATTTCACAAAGAAAGTTTTAAAGCTCATATATTTAAAGAATCTTCAATCATCAATCTTTATTATTCACGTGCGAAAAGAATAGTTTACGAACCAAAATTCAAACTATCCAAGACTAAACATACCTTCTCAACAAAAGCACCACGTTCTATAACTGAAGCCTAAGTTCCTATGAACTGTGGACAAGTAATGGGAATGTTGGCCGTCAAGAGAAGGAGAATAATGCAGTTTCTGTGGGTGAGATGAGGGAGAGCCTCTTTCTAAATGTTCAATGACTTTATTCTCAATCGAAACTGCAACA